CCAGGGCAGGCTGGGGGCTGACCATGTGGAAAACAACTTGGCAGAGAAGGACACAGGTTGTTCCTGGTGAACAATAACTTGAACATGAGTGAGCAACGTTCCTCTGAGCAAATACAGGCCTGTAGGAAGGGAAGTAAGAGCCAGCAGATTGAGGAAGGTGATCTTTTTCTCTGCTGAGCAGTGGTGAGATCACATCTGGGGTTTGGGATCCAGTTCTGGGCTCCCTAGTTCAAGACAGGCATGGGTGTACTGGAGCAAGTCCACTGAAAGGTTACAAAGATAATGAAGGGGTTGGAACATCTGATATAGAATGAGAGGCTGAGAAAGCAGGGATTATTTAGCCTCAAGAAAGCAGGGATTTCACCAATGTTCATAAATATCTAGGCAGAAGTAAAGATGTATCCAGACTCTTCTCAGTGATGCTCAGTGAAAGCATGAAAGACAATGGACACAGACTGAAATACAACAAATTCTCCTTAAACATCAGAAAACAACTGTTTTACTGCAAGCATTGCCATACACAGGAACAGGTTACCCAAGCAGATGCTGGAATGTCCATCCTTGGAGATACTCAAAAAACAACTAGACATAGGCCTGAGGAACGTGCTCTGATTGAGCCTCCTGGAGAGCTGGATTCCAGACTCAAGTATTCTGTGATTTCGTAAATGCAAAGTGCAGAGAGAGGGAAGGATATGCATTTGTACTTTCCCCTAGAAAGTGATGCCCCAGTGGAGTTCAGCTTTTAAGAACTTCAGCAAGAAGCCCTGGTAAGTCAACACAACTGATGCAGCTATAAATTACATGGGCTCTGCTAAGTGGCTGTTATAAAAAAAGATAATTAGCACTGAAGTCGGGCTTCCCTGTCCAGGTCAACTTCTTTAGATGCAACAGCTCTAAAACAGGCAGCAGGATGCTAGGGACTTTGCTGAAAATGGCACTGCTGAGCAGTTCAGGGCATATCCACTCAGCTAAGACTGTACCAGGATGTGTCAGGAATCCTGATGACAACCTGTGGCAATCTAACAGGACCTAGTCAGCATACTACAAAAAAACAGAGCAGCTGGATCGTTTTAGACCTTCCTATCTTACAGAGGAAAGGATATTCATCTTGCATTCATATAAAAAAAGGAAAGGATCTGAATTTCACTGAGCAAGGCATATTGCTTATAAAACAGTTAATAAGAAGCCTTCATAAAGACCATTCTAAAGCATTCAGCACTTTGAAAAGCTCAGTCTCCCATACATTTAAGAAAACACATGACGAAATTGAACCTGTCTTCTGCATTTTCAGCTTTGGCTCCAAGGACTGACAACAGCATAATGAAATTTGCCTAGCAACAGCAAAACACAAGAGTAAAAAAAAAACCCATCAACAGACCAAGTTCTGAGCATCCTAACATACCAATTTAAACAAGTCCCAACAGCTACAGAGATTCCAGTCCAGAGTCATGCACTGTTCTGTAGAGGAAACGACCCCACCAGTGTGGCAGGTTTGTGTGGCAGTTTTTTTGGTATCAGGGGAGGGGGCTACAGCAGTGGCCCCCTATGAGAAGCTTCTTGAAAGCTCCCCTGGCTCCAGGTCTGACACACCTTTGACCAAGGCTCAGCCAATTAGTGATGGTGGCCACACCTCTGCAATAATGTATTTGAGAAGGGGAACCTGAGATGGGGTTAGGACTTAGATGAGGAGGTGTTATGAGAAGGACACCTATGTGAACACAAGGTCAGTGAAGGAAAGGGAGGAGGTGCACCAGAGCAGAGAACCCTCCTGTATCCCATAGCAAGATGGCAGGGCGAACCCCCTGCCATCCATGGAGGTCCACAGTGGAGCAGAGGCTGACCTGCAGCCTGTGGAGAACCCCACACCAGGGCAGATGGCTGCACTTAAAGGGGGCCAGGACTCTGAGGGGAGAAGCCACCCCTGCTGTTGTAGTTCAGTGCTGAGGACTGCACACAGAAGTGACCCATGCCAGAGCATCTTGGGGGAACGACTCATGCTGGAGACAGTTTGTCGAGGATTGTCTCCTGTGAGAGGGGAGTCATGTGGAGCAGGGGAAGAAAATGCAGAGGAGTGCTTTCCTCCCCTCAGGAGTGGCAGGCTGACCAAAAATCTCCTATTTCCTGACCCCACTGCTGGGGAAAGGAGGTAGAGATATCAGGAATAAAACTGAGCCTGTGAAGAAGGAAGGGGTCAGGGGAGGTGTTTTTAAGATGTGGCAGTGTTTCTCACTATCCCACTCTGTCAAGTGTTGTCTTAATGTTTGAATTAAAGTTATGTTCTTTTTTTTCTTCTCCTAACAAGTCTGTCTTTTTCCCGTGATGGTAACGGTTAAGCCACCTCCTTCCTGTCCTTATCTTGATTCCCAAGCCCATTGCTTCATATTCTCCTGGGGGGAAGTGGTGAGTGAAGCAGCTGCATGGCACTCTGTTGCTCTCTGGGCTCAAACCACGACATCAGTTGACCCAAATGAACCTTAAAATAGCTATTGCCACAAGCTGCTTGATGGCATCTACTTACATAAGTGATGTGTGTATTATAGGTCACAGCTACCCACTTGAGAGGGGTTTAAACCAGCACTGTACCTGGCAACACTACTAGCTGAGCTTTTAATCTGCAAAAATTCAACCAAGAAAACATCAAACGAACGAACACTATTACAGAGGCACATTATTTGAAACAATACTAAACAAGTACCAATCCTCAAAGATTTTGTTACAGAAAGTTTTTTATTATTTTACTAGAAGAACTTTCAAAAAACATGCTATATGGTATCATTTTCTCTTCACTGTATGTTAGTGTTTATCACAGTCTTCAGTCTAGGGTTTAAACAACATTAAAACTTCAGCTCTTTAAAAACATTATGGGAGCTCTTAGTCTTTGCCTCTCCCTCCCCTGACAATGGCACTGAGACAGTTTACTCCACTGTGCTTGGCGTCCTCCAAGCATGAGCAAAAACCTCCAGCTCCAAAGCACCTACAATGTGCTAATGAAGAATGGACAGTGGGACTGCTAAAAAAAACCCAACAACACAGGAACATGGATGTGAGCAGTGAAACTATCTAATGCTATTTTAAACAAAGCATGGGAGAGGTATAAAGGAATTAGGAAATACAGTAGATTAATAGAATCTAAGTAATACTCAGGGTCATGGGTCACATTTACTAGAAGACAAGAAATGGGGCTTTTTATAAGTACATGGTAACTTTTTTCAAAGAGTTAAAAGAATGGAGAAAACTTGAAGAGCTTGGATACTGGGAAAATGTATTGATGGAGAAAAGCAGTAACTAAAGCTAAACTGAGGAGCATTAGAAACAGTTAAAACTGAGTTTGACACCAGGTAGTAAGGAAAATTCAGGAAAGTGGTTTCTGTGCCTATACAAATCCAGACATCAATAATTACTGTATTGCACATCTACTCCTCCTGAAGCAAAAAAATATCCGAATGAACAGAGTAAAGGCTGGTTCTCAGAGGCATGATAAAGACCAGTACTTAGACAGTATCAGTCTATATAAGACCAAAGATGACTCAAGGTAGCTGGCCTCAGACTAAGAGGTCATGTTCTACAGTGAGTCTCAATATACACTAAGGATTGCATCACTGGAGCAATACAGTGGCCCAGCACTGGGATGCATAATTCCACTGCAATAAGTAGAGAGTGCTAGATAACTTTAGAGAGCAATATAGCAGACAGGCAAATCAGTGAATAAGATGAATAATAACTCTACCTGTTAAAGGTGCCTGTTAATATGGAGCAACAGACATAAAGACTGTGCAGGAATTTAGTCTGTCAGAACAGGTCCTTCCTGGTTCAGAAGCCTCCACTAGTCTACACAGGTTCATCAGCTGGTGATCTCATCTCCTTACACCTCTGATGAACACACACATGCCAACACAAGTTACAGTGTAAGTATAGCCCAAAATAAACAAGCAAAAGGAGAAGAGAGAAGCCAGAAAACAAAAAGCACCAATTGGATTAGACCAGATGACACCCTGCAAATGATAATGCATAATGCAATGTAGAGGATGACAATGCATACATAAAGCAAAGAGTTGTGATAATCTAAAATACCACCTACCAAGCCTCCTGCAATATTTGTTGCCCCTTTTTTTTGTTTGTTTTGCTTTGTTTTGTTATGTTTTTTAAAGTACATTTAAATTTCACAGATAACAGAAAAGATTCTGGGATTTAATCACTGTCAAATGTTATTTCTGCAAAAATATACAAAGTTTTTTATTTTCTGCACTAATATTATATAATATGGAATTTAGAACTCCTCTTTCTATTTTAACATACTGTATCATACTGTACCTCAGTTTGAATGCCCTGGATTAGTTACATGCAATATTAGAGAGTCCAATTGGATTTTACATGCATGCTCTAAGTTATATAAGCATCTTCCAACTACGTCTTCTTAAAATTCCAAATGCTCTAATTCACTTTACATTAACCCTTTTGCTACACAAGATACGCAAAAGTACAAATATTTTAGCTACAGATGACTGCAATAGTCAGTGACATACAATAAATCTGTTTTATTTATAAAACTTTGTATGTCACTATGTCAAACAAGGACAGACATTCAAAGAACAGCACGTTAGTTGAGTTCTGTTCTATTACTTTAAAAAGTCTTTCTCGGGTCTCCTACTTAGTAAGTTCCAAAAAGAGTGTTTTTAGGCAGCACATGCTGTTACAACAAAACACAATTAAATTTTAAGTAATTTAGCACAGTAAATGACAACTCATTAAGAAACAAAATTAGTAAAACATGCACATATATACCCAGTGCAAAACTTCTGCAGAGAAAATTAAACTAGAAGAGTGAGGTGATACAAACTCATAACAAAAAAAGAACATGCATTTTCTTAATAGAAAAATAACTTCCATGGAAAAAAATTATGTGAACAAAACCATTTGTTTGGAAAAAGTACACTCTATATGGATGATATTTATAGCTGCATTATGTAGAGGAGCATTACTTTAGTTCAAAGCATAATTACCTTCTAACTTCAGAACTCAAGTAGCACAGCAGATGAATGGCCCAAAGCAAAGGTCCTGCATATGTTGCAAATGCTGTAAGGAAAATAGCTGGTATCTCCACATAGCTTTCTAGTCCCACAAAACCGGCTGAAACATCCACAGTAGCAATGCCATTTGAATTTCCCTGAAAATAGGAATGAAAAAGTAGAGATTGAAGTATCTCCAGAGAACATTTAGAATACATTTGAACAAATTTAATTATTGCAGCAGTTAAAGACTTGCTCTTTAAGCCACTTTACAGTACAGCCATATGCTTTACATGGGAATTTCAATAAAGCAGCTTACCAAACAAGAGCTTCTATGTAGGATTTACAGACTAATGAAGGCATAAACTGCATGATCTTTTGCTTGTCTTATTTTGTCTGAAAATTAACATGTCTGTTGTTTAATAAATTACATCCAAAAAAGAGCAAGCAGCTACACTTGCTGATTTCAGTCACAGTAATGAAAAAAAGTATTTTCAGCACACATGGTTCAAACCCAAGACTTAAGGCCTGCTGCCTAAAATTACACCAGGAAATAAATATTTCTTGCCCTTAGAGACAACAGGGCTCTAATTTAGAGTGGTAGTGGAACACTACCCACCTGCCTGCCCCAGGACATAAGTTCCTGCAATGTAACCAAACTGAGACAGAAAAATTCAGAGAGGTTTCTGCTTCACAAGTCTCTACACCACAACGGACTGCATTCAAATAGACCAGAAGTCAGCCTAGATAGCCTGAATCATTAATAGAAGGCATTTAAAACCTAGAAAACCTCAAGGAACACAGAGCAATGAAAGTACCAAGACCTGCCCAAGACTTGTATGTTTTACCTAGCTTTCTTTTTCAGTGACCAAGACCACTAAATAACATTTAGGGATGTTATTTACAAGGATAATATAAAACTGAAGGAAGTATTTTCAACTGAAAATGCCCAAGTATTTAATTTTACTCAAATACCTAAAGCAGCAAACATACCCCCTAATTAAGACAGAATATTTCTTAGTTTAACGGGTCACAAATACATTACCTCAGACTAGTGCAAAAACTCTCAGATATTCTTACCCTACCTAGAGAAGCAGATCAATTTCTACAGCACCTGGTATTCTTACAGCCATCAAATTCTCCTTTCTGCCCTACAGAATCCCAGAACAACACAAATGTAAGGCTTGTCAGCCAGCACTGATAGCCTCAGGCCCAGTTCCAGCAGACCTATGAGCAGTGGTGGCTCCCATTTTCTCTCCAACCTGACTTCCTCCCACTTAGGGATTGCAGTCTTCTTGAACTGCAAGTTAACCCAGTGTGGAAGTGCTATCATGACTGGGCTGCCCATGAAATCCAGAGCACACAGGGAAGCACAAAAAATAGGTAGTTTTTTTCAGGTAGGCACCAGGGATGGCAAAAATCCTGCTTGTGAAACATCTTTAAAATCTAAGGAGGAAAAAGCCATCCATGTTGACAGCACTATTCAGAGCTTCTTATCAGTAGTCACTGTCCCCGTGAAGATAGCCCCAGAATGCAAGGGGAGCCTGAAGCTGTAAGAGGGCAGTAAAGTATGGATTTTAACAAGATATCGTATAGCAGAAACATCTTGACTTATGACTGTCAGTCTTTCTCATTTTGCCCCTCACCATGCACCACTGTAGTATTGTTACACTGTTCCAGTGTAATAAGTTATTCTTATGCATTCAGCAATGACAGGAGCAGTGCAAAGCATAACCAATGACAAGCAGCAAAAGAAAAAGCATCTCTGTACCCAGAACCTGTAAGATGAGACTGGAAAAGCAAGCTGTAAAACAAGGCTCCTCCTCAGGTTTAAGTAATATAGACTGAGGACACGGCAACAGCAGGAAGGTCAGGCGTGGCACTCTGGGCACACGGCAGGGTGCTGCTCAACAAGCAAAAGTTTGACGGGGTCAGGCAGGGAGAGAACCTGTTCTCTTTTCCTCCAATCCCTGTCCACAGCAACAGGTCTTCTCCCCATCTCATCTACTTATTTTCTCTTCTCTGCTTCTCCTCTGCATGATGCATGCCAAGTAGGAAAGCTGAGACATCAGGCAATCATGCTCATTTCATGAAGAGCTGAAAGGTCTCTTGACCTTTGCTCCACCTGCATATACACATGGTTAAACCCTGGCACCATGGGGCAACTGCACCTCCCACTGCATGTGAGAATGAGCAAGAACAAATGCAGCACCTGGGAGTACATGTCCCTAGTCTTGCACAAAGGGCAAAAAGATGTACTTTCCTCTGGAAAGTAGTGAGGGCAGAGGAAGGAACCAGGAGGAAGGAACAGTGATTTCCACTTTCTCCCCAACTCGCTCTGGTTCCATTCACACGGGGCTCACTCCACCTATCATTGAATGACGTAGCTGTAGAACAAGAAGAGCAAGGATGCACACTTGGGTCCACACACAATTCCAACCACAATGTTGTTAAGTGTCCAAACACCCCACTCTCACCAGGAATCTGCTGAGCCTCATAGATGGCCACAGCTGCTATTGGAAGAGCCCTGCTGAGCAGTAGTAAGCAATTTTTCTTCACATCAGATATCTTTTTCCAAGACTAATTTCCTGGTTTTGACCAGGATAGAGTTAACTTTCCCTGGGCTGAGAGGGAGCACAGCTGGAGGGCCAGGTCCCAATCAATCACTGGAGTATTTAATCCCATGTGATGTCATGCCCAGGCATAGAGGTAGATGCGGGCCCGCTCTGGCATGGCTGTTTTTGGGTTCCAGTCCAGTCATGTGTTGATGTGGGTCACTGCACTCCATAAGCCACTGCTGCATTTTACCCATTTCTTTTGGACTCACTATTGTTACTGTTATTCTCTTGTTATATTTAGTAAATTCTTTTTATTCAACCTACGAATTTTCTTCTTTTTGTCCCTCCCCTATTTCATAGGGCTGGCCATGTGGCATCTGGCTGCTGGCTGAGTTCAAACCACAACACTAATTCATATATTTTAATTGACTTTTCATAGCTTATAACTTCTAATACTCCACATAATACATAAATAACTGACAGTTCAGAGTGTCTGCTTTTTAAGTTAAGTATTTCACACACTGCAATAACTTATTGTGGTCAAGGGCAGAAAATGACAGGAGACAATGTGCTACTGTGTAAAAGCATTCCATGATAATCCATCACAATGTAGGTCAACAAAGCACAAATACAAGAACATAGTCTAGAGAAACTACCCAGCATATTTGCTACAGTAACAGAGGAGAATCCTTCCATAGACAGTAATGAAAACAATCTAAAACTCTCTTCAAAGCTGCAATGATTTTTCTGAAAACTTTTCAGATACCACATCATTCAGTGAATATGAGCTATTACCTGCAGTATTTCAATGACTCTTAATGAACAGGGAAGTACAGAGGTACAAGACAAAACTGATGTGCTTCTGGCTTGTTTAACAACTAATTTAACACAACAGACTTACTGCACTTCCACTGAGCCCTTCACATAACTTTATGCCTTTCTAGTAACTGGAATTCTATAAACAAAATTAGAATGAGGAATTTCTTTTAATTATTTGAAGCAAATAATTTAAGGTGAAAAAATGAAGTCATTGGAAAAGGTTGGCTAGAAAAGTTCTGCTATGTCCATCCTTGGAGATTTCATGACCCTGAGTAACCTGGGCTGACCTCACAGCTGATGCTGCTCTGAGAATGGGGTTGAACTGTGGGCCTTCTGAGATCCTCTCCAATGTGAATTATCCTACAGTGCTTTGAAGTCACAGCACAAGGAAGCTATAAGCTACTTGTCACTCTGTCCATCTCTCTACCTAGAGACAAGATGAATTAGATATGATTCTGAAAATGTACAAACCTATTTTACTCTCCTCCAGTGATAAAAAATACCAGAAAGTCTAAACAAGCTTTAAAGGCTTTGAGACTGTATTTTCTTTCTCCTTTTATGTAAATATACTGCTCTAAGGATGGGAACAAAAAACTACAAGACTAATAAATACATGGGATTTTTGTTCATTTATGAGTTTTCATCCAAGATAACTAAAATATTTTAAGAAATATTTACAACAATATCATTTTTTTAGGAGCTGCTATAGTTAAGAGAAACAACCACTACATTTATTTCTATTCTCACCACATTTGAAGACCAAGTAGCAATGATAAATATATATTATCCTTCTGAGAGTGACTGATGCGTTATGTGGACAACTCAGACATTAGGAGAAAACAATCATTCAAGCTTGTTGAAAAATTCATCAATAGGTTCTCAAGCTTGACAAGTAAGTAGTGTTCTGACTAAATGTATTCATTTCCTATCTGTTTAACAGTACTAGAATATTTTCAATTTTGCTTATCTTCATCAATTTACACAAAGCAATAAATAAAGCAAAGATCCTAATTACTAAAACAAGACTAAAAATTTAACTGTTTTTACCTAGCTTCATATAAATAACACAGGACTCTATTCAGCCAAGCTCTGAAAACCTCCAAGCATCAACACAGCACAACCTGTGTAGGCAACCTTTTCCATTGCTTACTATTCATAAAAATCTTGCTAAAATGGATGGAAAAACAAGGTAATGTCTGCTCTTCCCATGTAAGTTACAACTGTTGAGTGAATTTACCTTTTAGGTTCACATTGTCAGAGAGCAGCAAGGGACATCTTGTTCTGCAGGGGGAAGGTAAGCTGGGAAGTGTGAAAACAAGGCAGGTTAGAGAAGTAGATCAGGAGGACTGAGAATGTTCAGGGGCACGTCCAGGTCAAGAATGGATCCAGAGATAGTGATCAGGGCCAGATGCAGTCTAGGGATCACACAGCAAGTCATTAGACTTGGTGTTCAAGGTCCAAGATTAGGCCAGGAAGCCCAGCCACCAGGTCCAGGTCCAGGTCAGGATCAAGAAGGTATGGGGCAGGCACAGACATACCTGCTTACACAGCTGTGACACAGCACAGGCAGTAAACCATCAGATTAAAAGCGGGTCCCAAAGGAAAAGTGGGCCAGGCCCTTCCTTCTAGCTTTTCTCTCAACAGTTCCTCTCAATGAAGGAGATAACCTTGAGCTCTGCTAAACTAAATGCCTAGACAGGAGATCCACTCAGGTCCCTGACACAGGTGAAGATGGAATGCAAAACTAAGTGTAAGCTCAAGGCATTTGTTTTCAACCTGTACTTAATTTGGGCTGTTTTCTTAAGATCAAAACATTAGCTTCTATACTTAGGCACCTCATTTTTTTTTCATCAACTATACCAATTGATTAATGAAAAATAGCATCTGTTCCTATGCACCTGGCTTACTGTGTACACTTAGGATTTTCACAGCTATACTTTCATAAAGTCGTAAAGGACCCTACAGTATTTTTTTAAAAAAAACCCAAAACACTGCCTCATTCATTAAATATGCTACCCTGAACAAGGCTATCACATTCCACACTTAGTTACACAGAGTCCCTGCTTTTGTCATTACATACCCTCTTGACTACCAAGATTTATTAAAGGCTCAGCAACATGGGCAAGTCTTGTTGACCTCATAATCACACCAGGACATGCAAAAAGTAGTTCTCAAAATCTCTCTCTTATTTCCAGATGGAAGTGTTTTATACTTAGTTTACATTTATCTTCTCCTGCCTCATTTAGCTAGCACAGTTTAAATTTAGGATCTAATCTGATCAACAACAAATTTCAGTCTTTGTCAATTTCTGTATTTCAATCATAAACCCACTATTATTTTTGCATTCCTCTCTGGAAGTTAAAAACCTAGCACCATTCTGAACCCAGACAGTTTAATAGTGGTAGCTCTAGTAACTACAAAACTTGAGGGAAGTCAGGGAAGACATTTAAATCTATGCCAGTACTGCACATCGTGCCTAGTAATACAGTTGTGCTTCCTTCACACCTTCCCTCTAGCATTCAAGCATAGATACCGCTCGCTCCGGAAGTAGTAAATGACTAGCTGGTACCAAGGCAGGCTGAACAGAGGTCAATACTGAAGTTGAGAATTTGATGGATTTCTCCAGCAGAAGCAGCCCAGATGTACTTCCTTAATGATTATTCAGTATTTGAGAACAAATGGTAACACTCTGTCTGAAGTACAACCCTTTCCTAAATTAGTCAAAATCTAAGACCTCAGTCATGGCCAAGACAATTAGTTTCTAATCTGGGACACCTGCATTTTACTCAGTAAGAATGGTGTATCTTCACTGGAAGGCATAGAAGTAAGGATGGGATCTGAAAGTCATCACCAAACAAAGACCTTCTTGTTTCTCCCACAAGGTAAAGGAAAAAAATTTAATGGTTTATTCAAACAATTAATTAAAGTCTGTTACTAAGCCAGAAAGCTACATCATAAGAAGTGTAGGTACTTTCAGAGTATGGAAGAGTTGGAAATTGTACATAAACACACAACATCGTCTATGGCTTCTCCTGAGGTCACTCATCTATGATACTCTTGAGATACCGATGAACACTTAAAGCCTGAGTGCCTGCATCTGTCACAAGATGTGTGAGTAAACAGGGAAACCTGAACTGCCCTAAGAAGAGAGAGTTTGTAACACAGCTGAAGGGGAGGTTACTTCTATGTGTTTGAGAGCGAGGCAGAGGGTGTCCCAGTGCAGGGGTGGGGGCTAGAGGGCTAGATCTTTTTCAAATCAGGTATACCAAATGGCAAAGAAATTGGTGAGTGTTCATCTGGTGCATATCTGGTATGGATCCCATATCTATAGATAAGTGACTGTCAGTTAATCAAGTGCCATTAATATATGATTGCCAGTTAATTATATGTCACAAATCACAAATAAATCAATAAAACACTTCAATCCTGATTTTAAGGTACACAAACTAAGCAGGTTCTTTTCCTTGCAACAAGTCATTCATGTTCTAGACTCTGAACTCAAAGGAAAAAGGAGAAACCTAAACAGATCCAAGAAAATTAATGAGAAGTGGGTTTTGCAGGTTGCCAGGTTTTTAATTTTCTCTGGTAGTGCCATTCACAGAATCATCTCAGCTAGAAGAGATCTTGAAGATCATCAAGTCCAACCATTAACTTCACACTGACAGTTCTCAACTCCACCAGATCCCTCAGCGCTGGGTCAATCCGACTCTTAAACACCTCCAGGGATGGGGACTCCACCACCTCCCTGGGCAGCCCATTCCAATGCACAACAATGCTCTCTGGAAAGACATACTTCCTAATATCCAGTCTAACCCTGCCCTGGTGCAACTTGAGGCCATTCCCTCTTGGCCTGTCACTTGTTACTTGTTTAGAGACTCATCCCCAGCTCTCTGCACCCTCCTTTCAGGTAGTTGTAAAGGGCCATGAGGTCTCCCCTCAGCCTCCTCCAGACCAAACCCCCCCAGTTCCCTCAGGCACTCCCCATCAGAATACTACATACTGAGCAAACCTACATACCAAGAGCATGAAATTAAACATAAATTCTGGAAGAAGTTTCTTCCATCCTTGATCTACAGTCCCAGACAGGAAAACCTATTTTCAGAACAAGCTGGGAGAAATTTACCAATTGAAGAGATAATGTTAATTAGATTTTTAGGGATCCCTGTAGCCTCTGTAATTTCATGAGCTACTAGCTGTGAGGAATTGATGTAGTTAATGACTCAAACATTCATCAACAGAAAATGCCCCAAGGACAAACTGTGGCCTTTGTGGTTAGTCCAAGGAATGAATTATCTGCCTAGGGAAGCACCGAGTGTATCAAAGGGGGCATGGCTCCACTCCTTTGCAGCTGTATAGCCAAACTCTCTAGACAAGCCTTGAAGGGGGGAGACATAGACTGAGTAAAACCATACGTTCACGCTAATACCTATACTTTAATTTATTACTGTAGCCTTGAAGAAGAGGTAAAAGATTGATAACAGAGAAAACACTCAACACCAGATGGAGCTAAAGGCTGGGAAATTATCCAAGAAACAAACACTGAAGAAGAGGTAAAGGTGGTACAGGGATATGATGACCACTGACTCAACTGGACAAAAAGGTCAATGCACCCAGTTCCCCCTCAAACTGTGTACAGAACCCATGCTCTGCCTTTTGCTTCTCTCTCATGCAAATGAGTTTGTGGAATACCTGTCTCTCTTTGTCTAGTATGCCAATGAGCTGTTAAGATGTACTCAAAAAGGCACACAAAACTTTGCTGGGTGTGCACACACCACCCAAGATTACCACATGTGAGACAATGCTGGAACCTGGGTGGTAATCTGGATTCTGTGACTCCCCCTCTCTCTCCCTTCCTTTTCTTCTTCCCTTCCTTTTCTTTTTCCCTTCCTTTCCCCCTTCCCCCTTCCCTTCCCCCTTCCCTTCCCCCTTCCCTTCCCTTCCCTTCCCTTCCCTTCCCTTCCCCCCTCTTCCCTTCTTTTAATTTCCTTTTCTTCTTTTCTTTTCCGGTGTCATAACCCGGGGGGATCACAAAACCTTTACAACTCCCTAGGCCCCCAGTCTGGGTCATAACACCAGCTTGACCATTCTACTTTTCTACATTATTATTTTGCACATCAGATAGTTGCTTTCAATTGCGAAGGGCAAGAAAACCCTCCTCTTAGCCTTGTAAGATTCAATTTGTTCCTTTCCACCCTGGCAGAACACTTTTTTCATCAGAGAATAAAAGAACAAAGCTAACATCTGGAGAGTATTTTGGTCAAACAATCTCCATACTAGAAAGGGCATCTAATGTGACTGTACTTAAACAGAAGTGAAAACTTGTTCTCTAAGGAATAGGGGTGGAAGAAAATTCCATCTGTTTTGACTCTTAAAAGCACCTTCCCCCTTAGCAGAATTGATTTCTCTATTTTTGAAACATGTCTAGGATGTTTTGAAATATTTTTTTTTAAAAGAGAAATAGAAATAAACAGAGGGGGGAAAAGTTAAAATAGAGAAATAGGCCACAATCAAAACTGTTCTTTCTAAAATTCAATTCATTTGTCATTCTATTCTGTCTTGCGCATGCTGAATAGGCACGCACCTTGTTTTTTCAAGCAGACAGTCAAACAAATCTGCAAAAGACTGTTAGCAAGTTCTTCAGAAATGGATATATATTTTTTTAAAGGGCCCTGTGTAAAGAGAGTAAGAATTTGTCAAATTTTTGCTAAGCCATTCCTAAATTCAGAAGAGTCTCTTCAAAGCTAGAGTTTATACACATTTGATGTTAAGCTCCTTATATGGATCTGCTCTATTTCATATCTTGGAGTTATTAATAAACCAGTATGATAAACAACACAAGGAAAAAAGCTTTGGTCTGCTTCTACCAGACGTTTTGATAAGTAACTATCACCCTTTATTGTCCAGATTCTTAAAGAATGACAGGAGATGCACAAAGACCAATCAAGCAATCTGGTTCACAATGAAGCAGTGGAGAATTTCTCCTTTCTGAGCTTTAAATACTATGACTCAGGAGCATGTCTATATGCAAGACAGTCCTTGTTAGAGCTAATTTTTAAAATATCCTTCAGTTTTCTGAAATTTGTATGATGCTGTAAGTTATTATTTCCAAAGGAAAAACTTGTAGAGGAAATGTCTCTTTTCCATAACTAGAATTTTCTTGCCAGCCTACCCACCATTAAATTTATGGCAGCTGCTTTTGCTTGGTGGCTCAGTACTGAGAGTACTCTGCCTTCAGGCTCTTGACAACCCCACTAAGGGCTGCTCTCAGAAAGCCATAATGAGTGCTGACCGCATGTGCAGTAACATTCAAGATGTGCAAAAGCCATTCAACTGAGAAATGTTACATCCTCTGAGCAGAAAACTGGGTAGGAAGGGATGAATCATGATGAGCTTATCCCCTTCAGCAATTCCCTATACTGACATGTACTCTCAGAGCAAAGGCAAACCAATCCTCAGTCAGTACTAACAGGATCAGAAACAGAGTAGGAAATACCCTAAGCCTGACCACAGTTGTAACATCCTCAGTTATGCCTCAAAAGTAATGCCAACACAGGTCTCACCTTGAAATTTTGCAACAAATCAGTCTCTCCTCTTAAACCATAAACAACCTGACTCCCAACTTAACAAAGGTCCTCTTAAGACAGTCTGTTACACTAAGTTTCCAACATTATTAGAATCTGAAAGAAGCTGTTGTCCAGCTTCAATGCTAAGGAAAGTTTTTGTGGATTGCAACCTTATATTCAATGCAGAGAACTATATTACTGAAATTAATAAGGCTCCTCAGGAAAGAATATAATAAGAATGGCAATTAGTTTTGATTCTTTTAGAGACATTACCTTGTCACAGAACTTACCTTCAGTATTAAACTGTATGTAGACCTATTGTGGTGCTACACAGGTTTTGTAAGACTCAAGAATCAGGGACAAAAAGTCATCTGTGTTTTATCAGCTGAAATTTTAAAATTTATTATCACCAGAACAGTACTTAGGAGGACCACTAGCAGACCAAAATTGCCCCTGGCATAGGTATCTGATATTTCTAACACTTTTGGAAATCTATATTGAGGATAAGTTATCCAGGTGTGCATCTTGCCCTGATTCTGAAAACAAAACATTAATAATAGTTAGAAACTGAACCCTTCTGAGAGCTCATTAAACTCTTCCACTCTGAGATTTAGTTGACATTTTACTCACAATGGACATTATTTCTTTCAAAAACTATCCCCCCTCCCACCCCTGTAGAAGGGAGAGTATTCAGCTTACCTGAAAATAGAAGAAAGCTTGGCCAAACCAGTAGTGCATGATAGTAATCTGTGCTGCATCAAATTTCAAAGGTCTCCAGATATATTTCGTCATCATTGTCTGAATCAGCAGACAAAACACCAAGACTGGTAAATTGTGAGGTCTAAATAGAAGTGCTGCTAATAGAACCAATCCACTATACACTTCACATAATCCTGTAGTCTTCAGGCTGGAGTCTGCAGAAACAACCTGTGACTTTAGTAAATCTTTAGTGCCAGTGAAGACTATGCCAAGAACAAAGACATAAACAAAACGAGCTTCAGTAATCCCCCTGAAGAGGAAATGAAAAAAAGAAAAGGTAAAAATAATAAATAAATAAAACAGAAAGATGAGCTATTTACTAATATCTGCTTCACAGGTCAAAAAGTCTTTCAAGAGAGTGTAAGCCCAAAGCAGCTCTGCCAGATAAGGTTAAATCCTATGGCTAGTACTGGGCAATTTCATGAGAGAGCTTTCTTAAATACAAAAACTCTAAAAATGGTTCATCTTTATCAAAGAAAACAACTTCTGCTAAAAACCTAAAATATAAAAATAAAATTGTAAGTCAATTAATGTAACCAAAATAAATTTATGTTATTAGTATTCAAGATCTAGATCCATAAATATATTCACATAAATATGAATAATAATTACCCCCAAAATATTCCTAGAGTGATATGGAAACTTTATTCCAGGAATTAAATGGACATAAAAATGACTATTCCCTTTATGTTGTTCAGTGGTTTTTACAACTCATTCACACAAATGTATGTTTCTTTTTAGCCAACCAAAAAGACAGTGTTAGTATCTGATTATTTCAATCTGAAATTTTTGTACACTGCAGATACCTTCTCACCTTACCAGCTACACATGTTCCTTGGAACTTCACACATTTTTCAAATCCCTAAGCAATCTACTACTACAAAAAAAAATTGAATGTTTTAAGTAGTAAGCATAATTAGCATCTACTACTATGTTCACTGAAATGAACATAAAAATTCACTGGCCTCTTCATTTCCAGTGAAAGTTGGCTTCTGAAAAAACACAGCATCTTGTCCAAAGAGCTGACAAGAACAAGGACCAGTAAGCTTAAACACTGTGACCTGCTATTCTAGAAGTGCAAGGCCCAAGGAATAAACTGAAAGCAGACATCCATCAGAATGCACTTATGTTTACTGGGGAAAAAAAAGTCACAGATCATATTAGTGTGAGCAAAGCTATAATAATCAACCAATAAACTCACCAAATGAGCATATTAAAAATTTTGTGGTTTTAACTCTACTTTTTATCTTGCAAAATATAAGAATACACACTATCTACACATTTTTTCCATAATTTAATATATGCTATCCTAAGGATTACCAGTCATTTTATATGTAAGTGGTGAATGAACCTGGTCTCCTACAAAGTTAATATGATTCACTAAAAAGTGAGGATTCTTGAGTCATCCAGACTTAATAATATACAGAGGATTAAACCATGACACTAAAAATAGTAAAAGCACAGTTATACTTGGTGTAACTAGCCTACCACAGAAAACACCACTAGTCAAAATTTCTAAAAATAAATGTCTCCTTTTAAAGTAGATATTTTTTCAGTCTTTGGAAGGTCACCTTCCTTCTCAACAATTACTAACAAATGAACTTGAATTCAATCTTTCTTTTCCACAAACAGGAAATAGAACCAAAAAGCAAGTATATACATGTTCTGTTCTCTTTTTGCACCCACAGAACCAAGAAAAAAGGCAAAACCACCACATGATAATGATGAGGCCTTCCTGAACCTGAATACAGTGCTCTGTTCTGAGGTTTAGCTATCAAAGGTTCAAACTCATACGTAAAGTATATGTAAAGGGTTTTACTATTTTATTCCCTTAAATAGCAAGCCTTTGTAAAACCCCTGTAAGGCCCAGGGGCTTTTTCCTTTAGGAGGAAAAAAATTATAAAGTAAAGTTTAGAGAGTTCCTGTGTTTCTGGTTAATGAAGCAATTCAGTGCCCCCTTTCAGTATGTCTGGTAATTCCGATGTAATTATTACCATTAAATATTCAAATTTCTTTGTCTGACTTAGAAGTAAAACTTTATGAAATAGCTTTGGGTATTTGTCACTATTAAATGAGTTAAGTGAAAACGGAAATTAACCAGTTGATGGAAATTCAAACTAAAAAAACTATTTCTATGCAAATGCACTATTTTGTGTGTGTGTGTGTGTGTGTGTGTGTGTGTGCTGTTATGGTATATGCTCATCTTTTTCATTGCACAGACTATCATTTTTAAAAAGAGCTCTAAGGAAAACAGAAGGCTAAATTACTTCCTTGCATTTTTTAATGTAGAGGTTATCTTAGTGTAAGCCATAGAAGACAGGACACACTTCAACTGCCTCTTCTTCCTCATCCACCTCCCAGAGTGTTGTCATATTCAGAGAAAAAAATTATCTTCAGTAAAGGGTACAAAGAGGGGGTGTTTTAGAGCAAAGATTATCCCTCTTAAAGAAGAAAGCATTATGCATGAAAAATGCAGTGGCTGCCTACAGGTTTTTTTCATATTACGCAGAACTACCTCTACCTTGCAACCTGGGTGAGGAGCAAATACACTAAAATACCTCTAGACACATTTGAAAGAAAGTTCTAGTTTTGTTCCTGGTGGCACTTTATATAGGTTTTTACCATTTATCACACCAGCCATCTAATAAAGGTAAGCTAGGATCACTATGTCAACACATCAGCTAACATCTGAAATCTAGTAACATGTGTCTACCGTCTTTTTTGACATGCTGTATTGGGAGCCTTGCTGAACATGATGGGTTTGAGGAGTTAGTGATCTTGAGCAAACCATGTCTGTTCTACTAGGCCCTGTACTTTAGGCTTGACAAATCCACATGCTAGCATGAGTAGCTGCTGCCAGGAACCATGCTGGAACTCCTGTGCTGGCATGTGTTGTGTGCTGGTGGGTGTTATGACACAGATAATGTTCTGACCTGGCAAGAGTAGGTACATGGGTATGTTTTGGTTTGGTTGGTTGCGGGTTTTTTACACCAAATAAAAGGCACCAAGGTATGGGAGGGAGGCAGAACCTCTCCACAGATGGGACCCATATGCCACAGCACGCCATGGGAAGATCCACCTAGGGTTTGTTTGAAGCTGCATGAAAGCAAGGTGCCCAGCCTTTGAAGGCACTCAAACTCCTATTTTTACTCTGTCTTATTAAAACAGCTATCTTGTTACACATATGTTGTTGGTCCTTTTTTATTGAGATCCAGGAAGAGCCTTGCACCCCACTTCCTGCCCCAGGCACAGAACACATGCTGACACAAAGGACAGAACCTGTGTTTGCTACCCTACCAGCTTTCACCAAACAACTTACCTATGTAATAGGTAATAGAGGATATAAAGGGTATAAAGCTTTGAAACACAACAGTAACTTTTAAACCAATATATAATCAGACATATATAAAGCTTGGAAGCTTGGGTGTAATTTAAGCAAATCACCAAGTTCAGTATTTATTTAAGGTGAAATAACACAAAAAGCCTGTATCTTTCTTGATACAATTGCAATCAATATGCTGACTACAGAATGAACAATTTCCCAGTAAATGCTTGCCTTTGGTGTTTAAGTATTCCACTTATTTCTCTAATAGCATTTTACTGGTGGCTCAATTGCTGTATTTAATGTTCTGTCCAATATTGCAATATTTTTCTCCTTATTGCAAGGACACTATTCTTCTCCAAGGATTTTTCTCAAATACAAAGCAAATCAAGCATGTTTCAAACACAGAGTCAAATCCTTCAGACTAAATAAAGATTACTTTCACAACCAGCAGAACTAGCACACAATATTAACTTACTACTAGCATACAATTAGAATTATCTTCAATATTTGGAGAGACTGGGTGTGATTATATCTAGATACACATACATATAAATATTTGTTAGAAAACATGCCTCATTAGCAAATCTGATCTATGATAGGTCTTAAGACCACCTCCTGCAATGATTTTTCCATCTCTGCATATCTTGTGACTCGCTGGCCACTGATTAAGAAGTTCCAACAGAAACCATTTGTATCCATACCAAACTCAAAATGAGCGCGAGAGAAAGTTTATTACATCCAGAAGACAATTTTTTTACAACTTCTTTTCCATGGTCCCATCCTACTAGCACTATGAAGTTTTTCACAGTTGTCTGGCATTTAGAAAAACTTGAGTCTGCAGAGCTAGGTATAACCTAACAGTAAAAAATATCATAACAAAACAAAAGCCACTTAGCTATCTGTGAAAAAACGAATAGCTTCCTTACAGTTAAAGAACAGTTCTACAAGAAACTTAACATATGCATAAAAACCCTTAGCATGCACTGTGCAGCACAGCCTAGACATCAGGGAGGATTTTGTTACAACGTGAAAGGACATTACATACATACACATTACAGAACACTCACATGCAAAAAAAAGATATGGAAAAGTAACTCTCCCAATTACTGCCTAGGCATTTTGCAAAACTAGGAAGTAGCTAAATGAGCTTGGCATGCATTCTGCTAAATGCAACAAATCTATTTAAAACAAGAGGATATGATGTATTTGGAGTTTCTTTGCAGAAAAAATACAGGGCGTGACTATTAGATTTTCCTCACATTAATTCTTATCTGACTGGCTTCTGATCTGTCTATGTTGAAAGACACTTCATGGGGCTCAAAATTATGCACACACCACAAAAACTGAGTGCTGGCCACCTACAAAATAAGTTCTATTCATAAGAATGGGACTCTGGCCTAGACATAATGGCCCCTTCCACCTATTCCCTGATATCGAAATGGTTAATACCTCTCTAGAAATAGAGTTACATATCAGTTAACTTACTTTGAAATATCTTTGCTGTCATGTTGCCATGGAAACACAACATTCCCAATAGCTGCCCGGTAACTGTAGACTCCCAGAAGCCCAAGTGCCATAGCAATTTTTGAAACCAGGGAACATCTTCTTTGAACCAGAAAGAAGATCATAAATAGGGAGACTGCAGCCAGGAAGGAGAGTTCAGCTTTATGTTCAGAGCTAGGAAAAAAAACAGTGAAACAAACAGACAAAAATCACTTTCAAGCCACTGTAATTACTGTTAAACACATTTGACAGAGCCTCAGCTACAGCACTGTATTTCCAAATGAATCCCTGCACTGACATCTGTTACGAACTTTCCAAGAGGTTTAATAAAATGCTTTAGTATTTTTAAAAAAGTGGTTTTATTAATTAGGTTTTCTACTTAAGCATGCATGTTTAAAAGTGTAATTATTGTGTTCCACCATATGCTAGTTATTCTGTTACATAAAAACTGAGCTGCATATTGCATAATGGAAAACAATCTAATGCTTTTAAACTAGAGTTTTGTTATTTATGTGTTTTGAAGAGTGCATTTTGCTTATACTACAGCATTTCATTTTCTAGCATAAGGCAGAAAAGGTTTTTGCACTACAGAATTAGAACTATTCCCCCTTTTTAAATAACTGCATACATATTTAATTTGTTTAATTTTAGCCATACAAAACATTACCTAGCCAAACTCATCAGAAATAGATAGTTTAAAACATACACATACTAATATATTAGCACAATATGATTCCCTTATGCCACTACAACACCTTGTACTGGATCAATACGTCCAAGAGACAAAGACAAAAAATTTGCATCATGGCCAAGATGGTTACAGATACAGTTTGTTTGTTCCCACACACCCTAAATAGAGAACACTCATTACAGAATCAAGAGCATTTCATTGAGCGTGCTGCCAATGTATTTAAATCTATAGCAATATCAATTAGAACTGCAAAATGTAATGGGGTAAAGCAAAGATCTTGCACTCAACCCTTACTATACCTAGCTATGCAATTTCAGAAAGCCCACTGTAATCCAGAATTGCTGACCCATGCTTACTGCAAATATTCCCAGTACCCCAACTGGCCTAGAACCACTAATTCTGTTAGATTTAATTTCTCTTAAGAATATCACGTAGAGTGCCAAAGCCAAAGGCTCCATCTTCAGTCTCCCACACTTCAAAATGCCAGGATAAAAGATCACTAACTTCAGAAAACTGACAGTGAGCCTGGGCTGTTACATTCATTAACTCAAATTGCACTTATGAAACTCCAGTGTTATCTTTGATTTAATCAAAATTATATTACTTCAAACAGATTTATTTTCCTATTCCCTAGTAAATGCTTTATCAGGAGTTTGACCAATAGCTATTTCAGCTGTTGTGCTTGCAAAGTCACAGAGGAAAGGATATGTGGCAGAAAAATTGTCCTGTCAGTCCTCCCTGCAGGACCCAGCTTCATACAACTTCACAAGACTCTCAAGAGATGCACTACACTCTGCAGACCAGTAGAGGAAAGGAAGACTATGGGAAAGAAAACGTAGTCTTGATGTTCTCCTCACTACTGTTCTTCCTCTACAGGAGTAGAAGCAGTCAATGGACTGCTGCAGCAACCTGTGAAGATAGTGCATGCACCATCTCTCACGATCAGCACAGAAAGAACTAATTTAGTAGCCACTGCATCTTTCAAATGAACCTTTGTGGAAAATTTTAAAAGCTTTCAGGCTGTATTCTCCTTGGCTGATCCTTGTATGAGAGCAAGATAAAACAGAGATAAGTAACCACACATCATCATCGTCTTTGTCACTTCATCTAAAAAAGTCAATGTACTTCTATTAAGAGACTCCTGCCGGCAAATCTCACATATCAACACATAAAAATTTAAAAAATATTTCTACCTGTAAGAAGTAATTGCTGGTGCTATATCAAACAAGACACTAACAGCTGTAGTTTTCTACAAGGAGCATTTGAAATCATACTCTAACTCCACATAAAAAGAAAGAAAATTCTCAGAGAAGTCCCAGTAGACAGGAAGGGGATGTTCAAAGTCATGTGCACATCAGTCACTAATGGTGCATTCTTGACTGCTAGAACAGGGGCTTATATCCAGCTTGTGTCCAGGTTTTCTGGTAACTAACAGTCTTCTGTGATTTCGACTTGGATTTTTTTGGACCATGTAAATTATTTGCAAAAACCCTACTCCAGTGTTTCACGGAGTTTGCTGAAGAAACAATAAAAGTATTTACAACAAGTGAACTCAGGTCAGCATAAATCATCTACAGTTCCAAGGTTTTTCCAGCTGAAGTTCTTACAGCTAGTTTATATTAAGTTAGAATGTATTGTGGAAGGAGACTGTTGTTCCTCAACACAGAGTCCTGCCACTTATCAAAGCTCTAAATTATACTGATATTCTACTCAGAAATGCAAGCATGAGCATGCTACTCTGATCTCAGCTGAAATGTAATGGGTTTTGCCCAAACCATAAAATTGGAAGTGAAGAACCCATAGTTTACTGAGAGAGAACCTGGGGAGAGAGGAAGGAAAATTAAAAGAGAGAGAGCTTTGGCTATATGTTCTTACATTAACAGCTTGTGGTCTACACCTTCGTATTCCTGGTATCAGAATGAAGATTAAAGACATCTCCTTCCACTGCTTTGACCTCACCTCACTACTGCAAATACAAGGAGAGTGAAAGGAACTATAAATGTATACGATGCATATTTTATGTGGATAAAGCCTTTTTTAATTGTTTATGTTCATGCTGCTCTCTGCAATAGAATACATAGGAGTCACATGGTATGCTAGCTTTGGGGGAAAGGGCATATGGGGAAGGTCAAGTATATTATTAACAGAAAATATTATCATCTTCCCATGCTGCTGCTGCTGCTGCTTCTCCTTGTCAATTTTTGCAAGCTGGCACTGTCATTGACAGCTTCACTCCTCCTACAGTGAGCCACATAGCAGCTCTGACACCTTCCAAGTATCAGCTCTGACCAAGATTAACAGCCAAATGAAGATAAGTGAATACTAACTAATTAAAAAGAAAAGTCAACTTTCAGGAAAATTTAAGGATTCCATGTTCTTTTCTGCTTCATGTACCGCCTGATTTTCTTATCACAGAATCCTAATCATCTAGGTTGGAAAAGACCTTGAAGATCATCCAGTCCAACTATTAACCTCACATTGACAGTTACCAACTACACCACATCCCTCAGCACTGTGTTGATTCTACTCTTAGACACCTCCAGGAATGGGGACTCCACCACCTCCCTGGGCAGCCCATTCCAATGCCCAACAACCCCTTCTGGAAAGAAATGCTTCCTAATATCCAGCCTAAACCTTCCCTGGTGCAACTGGAGGCCATTACCTCTTGTCCTGTTGCTTTCTACTAGGCTAAAGAGGCTCAACACCAGCTCTCTGCACCCTCCTTTCAGGTAGCTGTAGAGGGCCATGAGGTCTCCCCTCAGCCTCCTCTTCTCCAGACTAAACATCCCCAGTTCCCTCAGCTGCTCCACGTACGACCAGTCTCCAGACCCTGCACCAGCTCCATTGCCCTTCTCTGGACACGCTCGAGTCATTCAGTGTCCTTTATGTAGTGAGGGGCCCAACACTGAACACAGGAATCAAGGTGCAGCCTCACCACTGCCGAGTACAGGGGTGAGATACCTTCCCTGTCCCTGCTGGCCACGCTATCGCTGACACAAGCCAGGATGCCATTGGCCTTCTTGTCCCCCTGGGCATACTGCTGGCTCCTGTTCAGCTGGCTGTCAATCAGCACCCCCAGGTCCCTCTCTGACTGGCAGCTCTCCAGCCACTCCTCCCCAAGCCTGTAGCGCTGCTGGGGGTTGTTGTGGCCCAAGGGCAGCCCCCGGCATGTGGCCTTATGGAAACTCCTCCAGTTGACCTCAGCCTATCGCTCCAGCCTATCCAGGTCTCTCTGCAGAGCCTCCCTACCCTTTGAGCAGATCAACACTCCCACCCAACTGGGTGTCATCTGCAAACTGACTGAGGGTGCACTCGATCCCCTCGTCCAGATCATCAATAAAGATGTTAAACAGGAGTGGCCCCAAAACCAAGCCCTGGGGGACACCACTCGTGACCAGCCACCCACTGGATTTAACTCCGTTCACCACAACGCTCTGGGCCCAGTCATCCAGACAGTTTTTTCCCAGTGAAGCCTGTGCCCATCCAAGCCACAAGCAGCCAGTTTTACCCTTTTTTCTACTAAAGCCTTTTTTTCCTCTCCTTTGTGGAAGGTTTTGCAGAGTCTCTTCAAATAAAACAGCACATTTTCCTTACTTCAGCACTGTTGAATGCAGCCCTAGTAGCCAAATTGAACACACTACAGGTAGATTGATCCATGTTTTGCTGCTTACATTTTTCCATGCACAAACATGCACAATAGTCTCTGAGCCTCTTAAGCACTGTCCAGATAAGCAAAATATTAGTCTGAGCATGAGCACAGATATCTAAAAGGCCAATACAGGGTGAAAAAGAGGTTAGTTTTACATTAGTTTACATTAGAGAAAAACTGAAGGCTGGCTAGGAAAAGCCTGAGTAGCTTTAACTCAAATTAACATGGGCATATGTGATCTAAGGTTCTAATTTCTTATTACTAAAAAAATGTTCTATTAAGACATAAATATGCAAATTAAACACACACTAAAAATAGAATAACAATCAACCTTACAGACTAGCAATGCATTTTGGGAAGAGGAATAAGTGTTTTATGCAACTCAGCTTATCACCAATTTTTAATTTATGCTATAAGAAAAACACATCACCTCAATCCTGATTAAAACAGTAGGGAGACAGACATCTCTACCACCCTGTTCTCTTGTGAAGGAGAAGCAACAAAGACATTAAAAACTCCAACCAAAGAAAATGAAAGCATGCTTGACAAATAGGAATTCACAGATACTCTACAAACCATAGGATGTACAAAGATTTAGTTGCATTGTTGATTGATCTTTCTGAACCTTGTCCATTTCAGACCCAAGAACTCACCTATATCCCCCACTCAAGTCCAAAACCTGTGCACTTCAAATACTGCTATTTGGGTAATCTTTTAATGCTATAAAGCAATTAAAGTGTATGTTGGCATGTTGACATACATTCTACTCTCCTGTTTGACTAAAAACTGGTCCATTCATTTACGTCAGGTTGTAGCTCCACAGTAGTCCGAGCCAAACTGTGCCAGGACTGCCAGGGTTCTGCTCTTTCACTTGCTCCCTAAACACGGCAGAAATAATTACACCAGTGAAAGCAAGAAGGCAGACCTGTGGCAGCCTCTCTTTCATGGCACAGTACTCTGAACAATTTTTCTAAAGCTCCCAAAAGCAGAAGTTTGTGAATCATTGCTTCTTTCTAATTAGATTTAAAAGGCAAGTGGGTTTTTGTAAGGAATGCTAGACAATGGAAGAAAGAAAAAACTGTTAAAGGCTGCAGCACTTCAAAAGATGCAGATACTTCCACATTTTGTTTCTACAGGGATTTCAACAGCAGCAGTGCTTGTCTTGCACACTCTTCCTCCCTTCCTGCATTCCTGTTACTTAGTCAGTCCATTTGCCTGTGAAGCTGGAAGGTAAATGAGGGTGGGAAGTGATCCATCGGAAAGCCACGAGCTTCCCACACCATCCTGGGTTATTTTTCCAGCCACATCTATTCAATGATTTAGTTCACCATACTGACAAAACAACAGCTGTGCTGGTAAAGTGCAGGTCCAGTGAGGGGAGGAGCAAGACAGTAAGTACCTTGTCGTGTAAGGCAAGCTCCTGTAATATACTACTACAGCCAAACAAGCAGTCATAGTCTAAGACTATAGCCATAGGGCCTGTTCTCTTCTACTTGCTTCAAGACCCAAGGAAACATACTTAATGCGAGGCTACAATTTGGTGGGGAGGCACTGGGAGCAATTCACCTCTAAAAACCTGCAGTTCTGGTTTTGATACTTAGCTGCTGTATTTCAGCCTTACTGAAGGGGGAGGCAGACAGCTTCCAGTTGTGATGACTTTATGAAGAGGAAATAACCTGACAAGACTTCTGTGATGAGATGATTAGCTCGGTAGAAGAGCAGAGAGTAGGCAATGTTCTTTATCTTAGCTCTAAACAAGGCTTTTAACACCACCTCCCATAACATCCTCCCAGTCAAACTGATGCAGTCCAGGCTAGGAAAGGTGGACAGCGAGGTAGACAGCAAACTGGCTCAACTGCTGGGCTCATAGGGTTGCGATCCACAGCACAAAGTCCACCTGAATGTCAGTCGCTAAGGATTAACCCCAGGGCTCCGTACTGGAGCCAGCACTATTTGATATCTTCATTGATGACCTGGGCAATGGGACAGAGTGCCCCCTCAGCAAGTCTGCACACAATATAAAGCTGGGAGGAGTGGTTGATAAAGTAAATGGGTGTGCTGCCACTCAGAGGCACCTCAACAGACTGGAGAAATGGCCCAACCTTATCAAGAAAGAGGAGAGACTTGTTCTGAACCTTGGAACAAATAGCTACACACATCAGGACAGACTGGGGGCTGACCATCTTTCCAAAGATGTCTCTGAGCATCCTGGTGGACCCTGACTTGATTATGAACCAGCAATGTCCCCTTGCAGCAAAGACGACCAATTTGGGGCTGCATTACGAATAATGTTACCAGCAGGCTGAGGAAGGTGTTTCTTTCCCTGTGCTCAGCCCTGGCTCCAGTTATGGGTTATCCAGTACAGAAAAAGATATAGGCATAATGCAGCAACTGCAGTGAAGGACTATAAAAATGATAATGGGGTTCAAAAACCTTCATACAAGAAGAAGCTCAAAGCACTGGGACTATTTAGCCTCAAGAAGAAAAAGATCAGTATGGATCTTACCAGCCTGATTGGAGATGGATGGTGTTAAAAAAAGATGAAGCCATGTTCTTCTCAGTGGTGCCCAGTAAAAGGACAAGAGACAATGGACACAAATTGAAATACAGGAAAAAGAAAACAAGTTTCCCATGAAAGTTGTGGAGTCTCCATGCTTGGAGATATCAAAGACCCAGTTGGACAAGGATCTGAGCAATCTATTCCAGATCACTCTGCTCGGAGTAGGGGGACTGAACCAAGTAATTTTCAGAGGTCCCCTCCAACCTCAACCATCCTGTGGTTCTGTTGTTTTCAAAGATGGATAGGAGTTTTGCAAAGCATGCCAATTCAAATTCATATGAGAAAAAAAAACAAAAACAAAACAAAACACAAAAATAGCCTCCTCCCTCCTCAACAAAAAAAAAAGAAAGACTAAGAACAGATGTAAAGAACCTTGGTTTACCTGAGTGAATTGATTAGAAGCTCCTGACAGGCTCCTGGACATACAGGATGTCCTGGTTTTCACCAGGGTGAAGTTAATTTTCACTGGGTATTTCATACCTTGTGAGGTCATGCCCAGGTGGGTCGTCTCCTTCTCTCGTCTCACCACACGCGGCTGCTCCTTGGCTATGTTGTTGCTGTGGGGGCGGTCACTGCAGTCCGTAAGCCACTGTTGCATCTTACTCGTTTTCTTTTGGACTCACTATTGTTACTGTTGTTCTCTTGTTATATTTAGTATTTTTTTTTCTTTTTACTCAACCCACGAATTCTCTTCTTTTGTCCCTCCCCTATCTTACCAGAGGGGGAGTGGGGGGTGAACGGCATCTGGCTGCTGGCTGAGTTCAAACCTCCACACAGGATTTCCCAGCTTTTGTTATAAATCAGGAAGCCCTAGAAGCACCTGTTCTACCTGCAGGCCACGTTCTATCTGTGCTATCTCCCTCATTCCCCACAGCCCAAGGCTATAACAGGTTTTGTTGCTCTACAGACATACCTAGCACAAGAAAATCAGATGTGGGATTACACTTAACCAATACAGGATCTTCTGACCTTAAGTCCAGGCACTCACACACAATTCTTAGAAGGTTGGTAACATTCCCAAGTGTCAGTAAATATTCCTGAGGGACCATTCAAGCAAAAGCATATCTCTGAAACTAACACAGTTTTTCAGCTGCAAGAACATCAAGTCTGCAAGAACTTCATGGCATTGTGGAACTAGTATACTCCAAAGAAAAGGGCTGACAGTCTGAAGAAAACATCTGACTCAGGAAGTTATTAGACAAATAAATCTCTGGAATATGCTAAGAATTAATTACAAAAATTCTCCCAGATGCACCAGATCACACCTAATCCCGCTCACACACAGGCTTTGCTCACAATGAAGGAATTCTCCATCATGTGGACTTAATATTGAGAAGATGACATTCTTTCCTCAATCCCTCAACTCATCTCAAGAGGAGGAATGCATGGTGAAAGCTTTGGTATAGAACAACTGCTACAATGTCATAAATTCCCTTACAACTCCTGTCTTTCAGCACTCATGCCTGTCACAGCAATGAACATGTTATCTTTGAGGCTGACAATAAGTAAGAAGTCTCATATTAGTTCATTAGCTCATGCCGCTTTTAATGAATTATGAATGGCATTTCATCCACATGTTGTAAGATATTGACAAACAATTTCTATTTTACATAGCACAGCCTCCCCATCAGCTGTATGAAAAAATCTTTACTAGTCAGTCACAAGGTACTGCTGCTCCATCCATCAGCTGAAGTACAGAAGATGGTTCAAATATCAAGTACTTTTTATCACTGAGTACTTACTGTAGTTCTTCACAATACTAAAAGATAGCAGAAAAAGTAGAAGCCCTTCTCCAGTGTACTTCAAGTTATAAAATGTTCCCCTTCTTGTTTATCATACTACACTTGAAAAATTCCCTCAGTTTTCCACCCACACATTAAAATATCTGTGATAGACAAGAAAGAATTCTATATGCAGCATCTTCTCCTGCAACTTCATAAAGTCTGGAACTGAGCAGAAACTTCTGCCTTAATTTCAAGGGCTTAACTCTATCAAGCATTTTTTTACTTCCCAAACCAGACACTGTTGACTTACACAAGGAAAATATTTACTTTCTGCCTCTGATAAACCTATTATATATAATTGGCATTAATTAGATAAGTCATAGTGCAGGAAAAGAATTATAAATTATTGATAGTATACAAAGAATTACTTCGGCATGAAATACCGAGAAAAATATTCCTTGTTATGTCACTGTTTACCCACTTCGCATGTCTGCAGCACTTTCTAAACAGAGACTGTATAGAAATGTATACATATTTCACAAAAAAAACCCACAGTGATTTTAAAGTAAGACAGAAAGTATGACAATAAATCAGATACCTACCTTGTCAGCCAATGTCCAAAGTCTGGTCGATGAGCCCACTGGATGCCCGTCTGATTCAAGGATCGAAGTAGCCGACAGCAAATAAGGATGATCCATGGACTTGCTAAGCTTATCCACTTATCAGACCCTCTTAGGTATTCAGCTGAAGAGGTAGTCTTGCCCAATTCTGAATGCCCAATTCCTGCTGCTGGAATGTCTATATTCTTGTACTCGGAGGCTTCCCCGATACTATCAAAAGTGTGTTTCACAGTGGTGCTATGTTGAGGGTCACACTGTTTCAGAAGAAAATTATTTCTACAAAGTTCCTGACACAGCATCAAACAAAGAGTATTGATAAGAAAATACCAGGTTTGATGTTCCTCTTCTATAAAACTGCTTGCCCCCAAACTCAAAACATGGCCAATTGTTCCAGCCAGAATCACCACATCTATTTCTGACCAGCTGGAACTGAACACAACTGGATTCTGGAAACAAAATAAAATACAACAGTGGTGAAAGTGTATAAAAATTTCACTTGTTTAAGCAAAGTATGCTTACAGCAATTTCCTCTAAGAAAACAAGTGAGACAAATTATTTCTCTCTTGAAAAATCCCCCAAATTTATAAAATAATCATTTTAGTGTAGTCTATTTAGCTACCATTGCAACATAATCATACTTAAGGGAAAAAACCTTATCTATGAATAATCATCACAGTCATACAGATTAAGATTCCCTACCACCCTGTGACATAAAGTTTGAAACAAGCGCTCTCCCTGATGCACATCTGTAGAAGTAAAAATATAAATCCTGAAAAAATCAAACTTGAGATACAGATAATATGTAATTTTCTAACAGTTTAAATCTGTGCTACCCTCAACTCAGTACAGTGACAGGCTTCACTACTCAAATTAACAAAAGTTACTTGCAGACAGTCTGGTGGCACCCCTTAACCTTGCCTAGCTTGAAATGTGTCTTTCATCGTAAAATCTACTTTAAACCTTACCCATCTATTACTTACTTCAAATGCTGTGCCTATCTAAAACTGTAATATTCTTGTATAATGCCTCCATTAGCTTGATTTCCTGTTCACAGCGGCTGCTTGGAATTGCATTATCATCACTACCTTTGATGATACAGCTAAAAAGAGAGCATAAGGGCATGTGGGAGGTTCATTGATGTTATCAGTTAGAAGACCTTTTCAGCTCACAGGGAATACAAAGTAGAATAGAAAGGCATAAAAAGATCACATGGAGACACAAATCTGGTAAGTAGGCACTAAGGGAGATCATAAAGATGACCAAAACTCTTCAGCCACTTATTGAAAGGCCATTAAGAAACCCCAGGTATAGCTCTGACTTTGTAACAGATAAGGGGGAAAGTGACAGAACATGAATATTATGGATATCTCATGGTGCCTGTGGATCTACATAAACACAAAGCAATGCTTCAGGAAAGTGTCAAAGGTGGGGGAGATGGGGTGGTAAGGAACAGGCTGAAGGCTGGGGACAAAAAGGCCAGAGTGACTGCAGCATGTGAGGATCCATGTGCCAGAGACCAGAGTGGGGACCACAGGCTATCAGGACTGTGTGCCCGATGTGCCAGCAGCTGTGAGTGCATGAGAGACCATGCTGTCAGCAACAGGAAAAGCAACGATGGATCACCAAGCTAGTAGGTCTGCATCAATAACTGGAGGTCCCAGAATGCACATCTATGTGTGAGAGGTCACAGAGCCACTGACTGTAGGGACCTCTGTCTGTTTACCTTCTCAAAGTCTAAGCCAAAGATGGGGACAGGGGCCCTGGCTAGCCATGCACAGCTGGGCTCCAGCAGCAAGGCAGGACAAGTACCCCAGCCCTTGAGGCCATCAGAACGAGCAGGGACTTCCTAACATACCTTAACAAACATACTTGTGAAGCATTTTGGGAAAGACACTGTCAAATTTGTTTGACCTTTACCATTTTGTTTTCTCATTAATTTTTCCTCTATTAGAGAATACCACAGAGTATCTCTTAAACAGGTATTTTAAACACCTGATAAATAATTTAACTACTGCATGCCATTTTTACTTCAGAACAAAGATCTCTGAACCTACATTCATGTTAATTTCTTCAACTGCACCTTTCAACCACATCATCCTCCTACATTTGACCTTATGAACAAACTTTAAAAATGCCTTGAATATTAATACAGATAAATCTTACAAACAACATACATTCAAAGATGCATAGTACACTACAACTCCTGAACTGTTTGAACCATTTATTAGAAGAACAGAGAATATAGAATGTAGAAACCCACTAATCTTAGAGCGGGTAACATGTGGGTGTAAATGATACAAATATCCCTGAGTATCTTAGACACAAGTCTCACTTATGCTTAAAATTTATTGACAGCAGCATATGCATTGCATTTTTGTTCCATAAGCAAGATGATGTAACATGGAGAGGACAACAAACACATGATGCAAGAAGCTAGTTAACACTATCTGGAATTTTGCTTTGAGTAAAACACATTTTTCAAAATCAAGATTTTATAAGATGTGTAAAAGATTGAAGAAGGCATAGCTAAAGTTACCACTTATTCACATCACCTCCATTTCTTCTGTTATTAAAGAAATACATTACACCAGTCACTTCACTTAAAAACAAAACCAACAAAAAAGTCCCCATAAGTTTACATACAACAATAACAGGGGAAAAAAAAAAACCACTAAAAAAATTAGCACAGTCGCAATCTGAAATTTAGAAGAGTCATAATCTGGAAAACTGCCCGGGACCAATATAAATTTACTAGCTTTGAAATTTCTTTATTGCTCTAAAGGCCACTCCTTTTTGTTTAGTATTCTAATCTGAAAAATCAAATACCATAAACTGGTATTTGGAACAAAAGGACAAGGTAGAGATGTGGTCTGTGCAGAGACAAAAGACCACAGAAGTCACAAACTAGAACAGTACATGACTAAACTACAGAGAGTTTAAACTCCAATAATTCCATTATGCTGACCTTAAAGATCTTGGCTAACTAAATAATGAGTGAGCACATAAACACCATCTGCTTGCAGAGACAGAGGAATCTGAGATCCTCAACAAATGCAGATGAACCAGTCTTCAAAACAATTCATTTGTCTTCTTTGTAAGACATAATATAAAATCTATGGAAGGATTGCTCTCTTTTAGCTGGTTGCTGTCAGCACTGATATGAAAACTGAGAAGTGATATATTATTAATAGGGAACATGCAAAAGCCTCATGAAAATTATGGCGTTAGTGTGAAATGTCCCAGTGTCAGACAACCATCACTTCTTGCCTACTTGTCCGACTCTCACAACTCCAGTGAAAAGAAAAAAAATTTACTGCTATATTCACGTCAAAGGATTAAAGTCCAATGGCATTTACCGATAAACCACATTTCGGATCAGAGTTCATCACTATGCAAAAAAAGAAAAATTATCCTTCAGATATAATCAGGAGATTATAATCTCCTGAGACTTCATGGTCCAAGAAATACTGAAAATAGCTTCACCAAATTTTTCTAAATTTGCTGGTAATCCCTCTTATACTAACTGTGTCTTATTAGCAATGTTATCATTACAGGTTTTTTACACAGCCTGACCTTAGATTACTTATATTGTACTTAGTTTTTACATCTGGTTTACAGACACAGAAATGCAGGTCCTACTCTGATATTCATAGCTCGCTCTTTCTAGCTGCTGAACATCTCCTACTCTCAGGAACTCAGCAGACACTTCAGATACTAAAAGACTCATATGACTCACACCGGTATCTTGGCAAGCAAACTTAATACAGAATCTTTGGGTTAGAAATTTATAAAAGCCAGGCTTTCAATTCAAGCCTATAATGTCTCAAGCCCAGGTAGCTTTAACATTTGATACATCAGCATTAGTAATTAAGTAACACAGAAACTGATCTCTTTGCTTATCTTTGATGTAAGTTGCTAGCTTGCAGAAGTGCCAATACATAAACAATTATATATATGTATCTCTGCCCAGAAAACTTAAATTTTCTTCACTTTGAAATAAAACCTCCAGTAGTCTATCTTCTGGTTCCAATTTGTATGTGGTTTCTGTATGGTTGAGAGTAAAGCTCTTTCTCACAATATGTTAATCCCATGAGGAATTTTACAATCACACTTCAGATGAGAAATGTTTTATTTTTCATGCTCACCATCACCCAAAATTTAAATACTTATAATTCTGTTCCCTTCTGATATTTGAGCTCCCTGCAGTCAGTCTTGACTCCCAAAGATGATAACTTTCTTATGACAGAATACTATAGACCACACTTGCTCCTACATTTTCACAGCAGTTTGGGATCATTTTTGAAAGCTAAAAGGCACCATCCCATCACCTTTTTTTTTTTTTTTCCATCAAGTCAAAAAATGCAAAAACCTTTTAGCTACAATTGCAGAAAAATGTTTCATCATTCAATTCAATTAGAATATCACACAGAGGAGAAAAAAGAAAAATATTTTAAAATGAACAGGATATTTAAAAAAAAACCCAACAAAACAACAGAGAGACATTTTGTTTATGTAATGAAAAAAACACTAATTCGCATAATGAAAATTCTGAAAAGCTGTATTTGACAAGTTTTAACTTTCATGTTCTATTTTCAAAAAACTGTTGGCTTTGATTTCTATCCAAAATAGGGGAAAAATATAACTAATAGTAGCAGTAAATACTAAAGTCAAATACCAAGCAACTGGAGAAAAGCTATGTACAAGAAGTTAAAATTTTTTATGATTTTCTGGAATTTGTAAAGGGCTACATACCTATTTAAAGCCTGAAGTGTCATTAAAAGAAGAGACTGGTGCTGCTAGAAACAGAGTAATCAAAACCTATAAATAACAGGAAGCAGATGCTAACATTGCCTGCACTGGTTTTCAGAAAATTCATGAACTTGGTAATCAGTTTCTATATTGAGCCACAGTGGAAAAAAAAGCATTACAAATGAGAAGCGCTTCAGAGAAATCTTTAGATGTGAACAGAAACAATTTGAAGAAAAAAATCACTCTGAAGCCATTAACAGGAGAGTTTATCTTAATTAATTTTAAAATACCTACATTTTATTATCTATGTATGAGATGAGAAAAGGCTTTTAGCTTTTTTAACTGGCAAGACCCTGATTCAGGATTTTATTCAGAAAAGCAGGGCTTCAGAAGTCTTTCAAAAGTGGAGGCCACACAGATTTGCACTGCAGGGATGCACAGGACACACACACTTTGATTCAAGAGATATTTTAGCAGAAGTAATACTCCTAAGTCACATAAAAGGCCTTCAAGATCAACCTACAGCATATACACACACAGCATATAACCACTTTCCCCACCGAAGTCTAGCCATTCTATTGGAAAGGGAGATGGAAGGTGGGACATAAATGTTTGTGAATTACAGTGTTTGTGATTCAGTTGCCAGTAAATAACCTCTCACATTCACACTGTGAGCGGCACTAGATTATCCACTTCTCTTTTCATATTCTCCAGGCTCTATCTTTGTATAAGCAGCCAGCTGCAAAAAACCCACCATATCATTCTGAAACATCCCTGAGACTGGTGAAAACGTAAATCAAATACAGCTCACTGCTTTTATACATGCCTGGAATGGAGGAACTTAATAACTAAACCTATAAATATTTCAAGCTTGCTTTGTAACTTGAACAGAAACAGCAAAGCCTATCTGACTGATGAGATGACATACACATCCAGCAATCTAGTCACCTACGGAATAGGATTGAAGATGTGATGACAAAAATGGATTTCTACAGGTATGGATACAAAGTCATGTCTGCCTCAACCAGAACTACTATTGCCTACACTTCCTAAAATATCCTTGAGCTTCCCACATTTTCAGATATGTTTCAGGTAGGAGTATGATCACAGACAGACCTGGGATGGAGAACCCAGTATTTTTTTATTTCTATCTGCCCCAGCCTCGGAAAAACAAACACACAAACCTTCTGGAAAACATTGCTGAAAACCTCCTCATTCATGTATTAGCAACTTGAAGTAGATGATCTGATCATCTGCCAGTATGTCCTGAGGTCCCAGCTATGTAAAACTCCAGAGAACATATATGCACCGATTTTGGATATTCCCCCAAATTTCTAATTCAAACAAGAAATGCTCGAATCGATAACAGTTCCATTATGGCCACATGCAGATACTTTCAAAGGTGACATGAAAATATGTACCTTCATGTCCAACAGACACTTACTAATCCCTCTCCTAAAATGACAGAAGTGTAATTGCCAGTGATACCAAATTTCACTTGTGAATAAAAGGGGTTTTTTTACACTTTTGAATTCCAGATGGTCTCATAATTGGTACCAAAGAGGAAAAGGAGACAAGCTGCTGCTGTAAAAATCCTTCTTCAAGCAACAAGGGATTGGATCTGAAGCTCCATCAACCAGGGAGAAAGCTCCAGCTGCAGTGGTCTCTCATATGTGGAATGTAGCGTGCTAGAGGCAAAGATATGAAACCGCATACAGTGTCCTGGATATAATTTCTAAACAGTTTATCTGTTTTGCTCAGTTTGTCCTCAAAAGCAGAGGTACAGACAAATCAGGAGTAGGGAAGGAAGACAAATTAAATAGAAGGGATAAAGACTTCTCACACATACTGCTGTCTATGCTCCCTAGGCATTACTGACTATTATAGATGCAATCATTAGAAATGGCCAACAGATTATGGGTATGGAAATGGCACTTCCTCCTCTAAAATTCCTCAGAAGGGTTCATTCTAAAAGTGGAACAGCTTGGATTATATGGGTGCTTCTTTTTAGCTATTCCTTGAGAAATTATTTGCCTCTTTCAGGAAGCTAATAGTTAACTCCTTTTATAAGTAAAGTCCTTCCACCCAACTCAGGTTTTGAATACTAGGAGACATTTTGCAATTGCTGCTGTGATCATTGACAGTGCAGCTCTATTAGCAATATATAAGCCACCTGAAGGAAGTTGTTCGCACCAGCAGCTGTCTCTCATCAAAAAGGACGAAAACATGACAAGAACAGATGGGAATGAAACCCTAAGACTCAGGCCAAACTAAAAAAGGCAGAGTTAGTACCTAACAACCAATACTTGATAACAGTCTATTCTAAGTTTAGTAATAGACAGGGAATAGCAGCATCCTCCTAGATTTGTCTTTGACCTATTAGGAGAGCATTTTTCCTGGGTTGTATAAAGTTACTTTAAACTTACTCCTACAGCAGTGGGTGTCACAAGGAATTATCTCTAGCCATATAAGAAAGATTTCTAATCACAAACTGAATTGCTTTGAGACTACCAACCTGGAGGAGAAAGCTATAATTTGTTGTCATTGCTCTCAACTCTACTGAAGTGGAACATCTGCAAATTTTACACAGGTCTAGACAGTCATCATTTTTAGGTTCTTACTGTTTGCTAAAATTAGAAAAACTGGTAACTACTAGGATGAAAAAATAAGTGTCTTCCACTGCTGAGTTTGTTTATCATTGCACAGCAGGTAAACATGAAGTTTCTACAGAATACACTAGATCATAAATAATTATTTCAAGACCATATTATTTTACTTTTTGTAAGAATAATTTCTACCTCATTTACAGTAAAATACAGAAAACTAATAAAGGCCATAAGTAGAACAACTCAGAAATTGCATAAGTGACCTGAGCCCATTTAAAGACAAACACACCCCTAAGTACCAACAGTGTTAACAAACTGTACAGCTAGACATGTCATTCAGCAGATTTCTCATTCACATTGATTTACCTTCTTACCTGCCTTTAAAAAAAACCCCACACAAGCATCACTAGCTTTGGCAGCAAAACAACACTACTTCAACACAATAGTTTTCAGTACCAAAAGCAAACTGTGATTTATGCTTACAAAGATTGTTCTGATAGCTGCTAGACCCAAGATGAAACTTCTCTCCCTGATTTCATCAAGCAGACATTGTTAGCTGACTTGTTACTCTATTTTAGTCTACCTAAATGATCAACAGACAAACCTAAATCTTTTGTGGCTGAAAAACATAAGAATGAAACACCACGTTCTACCAAAACCTCCCTTTTTAATCACTTTCACTACACTGAAATGAACTGCACTGAAGAAAACTGAGGGGGGGGTGGAAGTGGGTGCACAAGGGGAAGCTGTCTTCAGGAGAAAAGGGCATTAGTTTTAGCCCAAGGATTCTCTCCTAAAAGCAGTATTTCCAAGACAGCATAACATAAATTCAGAAGTTACAAAAACAAAATTATAAACTGGTGTAGTTTGAATAATAAAAATCAGCAGTCTTACTTGTAAGAATTTAAATTTATAATTAAGATTGTGAATTACAGCATACAGCTGCATAGAGTGCAATATTAATCTCCACTCAGGAGTAGTGAAGTTTCTGAATTATATGAAATATAGCAGTTATTAAATGTTTCTCGAAGTCAGAAAGTTTGCTTTTTAGCTTGAAGGAATATGTCATCATATCATTAAAGCAATGTACTTGCCACACACTTAAAAAAAAAAAAAAGGTACTAAAACCCCAAACACAATTCAAAGACACCGAGATAGACAAAGGACTGTATTTCACAGAGGTTGCACCATTGAATAGAGAGCTATGAGCATTAAAGTTACTGAATTTCAGAGACTTTTGAAAGATGTGACTAACAAGCATCAGAAAAAATAGCTAGAAGATGATTTTATGGTGTGACTGATGGTTCTTGGCATACTAAGTTTCATAGTGGAAGAAAACATTGCAAATTCTGCTTCCTTGGAATTGTCTCAATTCGATACAATAAAACTCATCAAGTAACTACTTGATGTTAGTCATAAGGTAACTACTTGAACAACTGAGAACATTTCTGAGCACTCCAAAGATTGTAACAAACACAATTTCTTAAACTTAAAAAATTTTAAAAGTTTGACTTCAAAATTGGAAGTCTGATTTATTTTGCTCCCTCTGTTAGTTTCAAAACCATTTTTAAAAGAGCATTAAGAATACCAATATAAGAAAGGGTACTGGCAAAGTGTTTTCTTATTAGTCTTAGAGCATTGGCATCTGCAGTATCTGGGGAAGGACAGATCCTCACCAGTGCACGTTGCTGCAAAATACCATACATCTTGCTTTAATTGCAATTGTGAAACATCACTCTGTACCAACAAAAAAATCTGTACACAAAGCAAGTGTTTCTGATCTCCTAAAATCCACTGCAAATAATTTACACTAATTAGAACACTTTTTAATGTAAAGAAGCACTTATATGATCTCCATTACAGCAATTGGTATCATGCCACAATGAACACACCACATTTCACTTACAATTTTAAATTATTCAAATTATATTACAAATAACAATTTCTCTAAGTACACACAGAGAAAACTTATATAAAACTTTACCTGAAAGTATGCCATAAAGAACAAAACCTTTTGAACTGTAATTAATGCGTGGTCTCACCTTCAGTGGAAGTGTGGAATTCTCTGAGACCTTTGCAATGGCAGATAAAATACCGCACATGAGTGCAGAAATCAGCATCATCACTCCAACTGCTGTTAACCAGGACATACTGCAGAAATAGCATAAACTTTCTGCTGATGTGCATACAATGACGTGGACTGCACATAGCATTAGACACATCAAGTAAAACAGCAGAGAGAACAGTGGAGGGGAGAGGGGCACTTCAAATTCTGCCTGGCTGCTCAGGGCTTTTGGAACACTGATCAAAAGGAGCAGCAGAACCTAGAAAAAGAATAGAGAGTTATTGGGGTTAGCTATAACATACACTGAGAATTCACACAAAAAAAATCATACTCTTGTCATCCATGTCACACTGCCATGTGTATATACATGTCACATGCCATGTCACATGCCATGACACATCCATGTCACATGCCATGAAGTATATATACTTCATCAAAAAAACTTGTGAAGAACTAAACTGTATCTTTTGTCCTCAGCAAGATATTACCATACAAATGCGAGAACCAGAGATTGTGTTTTCATTTATTAAGGGCTTGGGCACAAAAGTTACCATAGTTTAATGTGCCTCCTCACCTGTTGTAACGGATCAAATGCATGATCTTCAATTCTCTGCAAAAGTAAGAGCTTTAACCCCCAATATCAAAATAGTTCCTAAGCAAACAAATTCAACCCATCATTTGTCACCTGTAAATGCCTGAAGTTACATACACACTCTGCTAAAGGCAATTCATCTCACAATGTGTGAAATACACATACACAAGAGATCCCGCTGAGTTAAATAGCTTCCCAGACCAGGGAAAATCCTCACAGTATCACACAAGTGTATGCTGCATTTCAAGGTTATGAATTCTCCTGATATTTATTATTTGTACCTCTCCTCATCTTAATTTGATTTATTGGTTTTACTTTTGCTTTGCTCTAACCTGCACACAGATGCAGAATCCCACGTTTCCTCTCAGGTAACTGTAGCAGAGGAGATGAATAATACCGCTAATAATCTCTGCTACTCATGTACAAACCTTTACAAGGGAAAATTCAGCCACATGTTTAAGTGCTTTGCAAGGAGCACAGATGGAGCTACTACTAGACTGAGCTTAATCAGCCTGTGCTAGGGGAAGATTAAAACAGATCAAGATAAAAACAACTGTATCAGACAGCTGCTGTGATCTTTCACTGCCTCTTGTGAAGACCTCTGCCCAAAATTCTTCCAATACAGTGAGATATAGTAAAGTAAACCAAAAATAATCCAATGCATTGCAGCAGTCTTCCTTCTTCTTCATATTCTATTTCACACAGTTCACTTGGTTATGCAAATATGACGTTTCATAGTGTCAAACTGGCTTAGGTCTTACCTTTTAACAGAGCACTTACAATTAAAACAAAACACTCACAACAGGTAAATACTCAAATTATAGTTATCTAAAAATCTAAATTTTGAGCAAATGCATTGTTACCAATTCATGTCCCAGAGGTTTTCTCCTCATCTGAAATACACAATAAGTAGCATTTATAGCATGGTGTAGTTCAAAGTCACCTGTGAGATTCCCCACCCTTATTTATTCAGTGAGGGTGGAAAATCTCTATCAAGACCAAAAGGTTTTGGAAAGCAATGCAGTTTCTTGAGTACTGCACCAGACATAAGAAAAAACTTCAGCAATTTTGCACCAAGTCTTACAGTGATGCTTAGCAAGCCCTTCTCAACCAAAATTTTCATGGTCAGTAGCTACATGTTTCATTTGATGAAGGCCTACTGAGTAAAATGCAACCGCATTCAAGAAAAAAAAAAAATCCAATCCTTTGGGTCCAAAGTAACTGTCAAGAGCCTGAAGTATAGGTTCACAAAACAAAGGAATAAAAAAGAAATACAAGCACCTCAGCTTTGTGCTGAGTTTTATCCACCTCCAGATTTGCCATCTGTTGAGCGGGAAGAGAACCTACCTCTCAACTTCCAAGGGCATTGTGGAACTAATTCCTGCGAAGTGATAGGCAGAGTGATAAACCCCACCGAGCAGTCTACCATAAAGCCATCTCAGATGTATTCTGTACATAGGGAACAGTGCATATAAAATAAAGCATTTTGTCCTGACAGGACAAAGGAGACTCAAACACTGAATAGCTGCTCATGTACTGTTATCCACTCCAGGCCCTGAACAGGACCAGTACTACAGTTATTACAAAGTCTTGTACAGGACCACACACATGCAAGGACTAAATTAAGCTTGTAGCAGGTATTTCCATCCTAGCGAACAACACTTATTTTTACAAAAGTTGATGCTTGTGTCATCTAAAATGTCAGTGCAAGCTTCTACACATGAAAGTTTAGTGTCCAGGCATGATATCCCTTCAGAATGGTTCTCAAAGCATTACCACAGAGGCTATTTCCAGCATTTGGGCTTTGCCCAAAATTACAATTGCAGTGAACCACTTAAGATTTCAGATATGGGATATCTTATCTTTATTGCTACATGAGACATGAAGTGGCAACACTGCACCTTACAGCAAGTATTTATTTCAGGGTTCTACACCTATCAATCAACAGTTCAAATAACAGTTCTTGGAATTGTGAAAATTGCCCACACAAGAAATTGCCTGTTCTCAGCAGCTACGCTTACTGCTAGATAAAGGGGAGCAGGTAGGAACTTGATTGCCAGACTTTTTTTTTTTTAATGCAGTAAGGCTACTTAAAAAGTAGAAGGTTAACACGGGAGTAAAGTTGTAGCACATGTGCATATTTACAGTAACTAGTTACACAAAAACATAAGTAGCTTATATCAAAAGCTCTCTTGAATAATTTCAAAGCCAAGTTACACTGTAAAAGGAGTATTAATCTCATTCAAGTGAAAAGTCAACCAACTCTAAGAGTTCATACTTGGTAATTCTAAAGGCCAGTAAGAGCATATACTAAGTAGTCAGAAACCAGAAACTTTTATGTTTGTGTACTTAGCTTTTTCACAGAAAAAATTTTTGTACCTCTATAATGATCACAGTCCCCACCATCATCGAATACATATCATATTGTGCCACTTGTTTGCTTAGTGAAGAACTCAGAGTCTTCAGGGCCTCCAAATATTGCTTCAGGACCTTTTTGCCAAGATTTAAGAGTATTTCTGAATTATTTCCCTCTAAATACAGTCTGATCCAATTGCCATGGGACTTTTCTGCTATCTTAAAATGTTCATATCCAGGATCTAAGGAGGGGGAAAGAAAGAAAGAAAAAAAAAATAGGTAAGAGGATCCATGAACAAAGAATGATTAATTAGAGATATGATCATATTTTTATATTTGCTTATATTAAATATTAAAATAAATTGCTATGGAGGTTGAAACTTTTTTCATACCTAGAAAGTTACATTATATTCCTGCAGCAAGACAGTAACAAGCCACTTATTCAGAATAAAAGCAATTAATCCCTAATCTGATAAAATGTCATGACTTCTAAAAGTGCCAACTGTATTAAAATAACCATTTACTGTTACAAAAGGTTTCCAGGACAAACTTATTCAAATGCTTTAAAGGCTGAAAAAAGTCATGTTTTCCCCTGGAGCCACTCATCATCCAGGCCATATTGTACAAGCCAAGGAGGAAATGATAAAATAGCTGATCTCTAGAGGAAACACCGAAGGACACACACCACATTAGGCACCTTGATTTTGCTGCAAAGCTAGTGAGAGTCAGTTGGTAACACAAAGTTACACACACAGGATATGAGACTTTGAAAGAGTAATAGAAAAGTTAATAGCTGAAGTGCAGTTTGGCTTCAGACATTTGGACTATGAAGCTGGTACAAAGCAAACCTTCACAAGGAAATGTATTCTACTATATCATTCTACTATAGTGTAAAGACGGCTTTGCAGTCTGACTTGATTGATGCTGCCACTAACCTATGGAAGCAAGATTCTTGTGGCAGAAGGTGATTTCATGATGGCATATCTACATTTTTTTAAAATTCTGAAGAAAAATAAACAAAATCCAAACTAAAACCAAGCAAATAACATTTAATAAAATCTTGGAAAAAAAGAAAAAAAAAAGCATCTCCAGGACATATACCTGTTATCTATACCTAGATAATGTTTTTTTGCAGAAATGTATTTTTGATTAAGTTTTCTGATAAAAATATGCATAAACAGGACCGTGCGTGAACACTTACAACACATATAAAGACTGGTCTGCTTTCAGAACTGGGGACGAGGACAAGACTAGCACTAGACTATGTCCCTGAAAGAAGTAATCTTAAATCAACCATGGAATTCTGTGGGTTCAGGTTTTAATTTAAGTATGCTGTTAAATATAGGTACAGAGACATTACAGTTTCTTTTCTCTCTTATACTGTAGAAACATGTCTGTGTTACTTTACCTAAATTTATTTTAAAAGCTTGAGTGAGGACAACAGGAGACACAGGAAAGAAGCAAACAGTCAGAACACATATTTTTGGAAGTCCTTTGCAAGTACAGCAGCAGTAGCTTTTCTCTTACATGTATTTCCCCTCACTGAATCCACAAAATCTTTACACCAACAGTTCTGGCTCATACATGCCAAAGGGTAGGTATGGAGAGACAATGATTCATGATGATTCAAAGGACACAAGAAAATACTCTACAGTTTTACTCTCCCACAAACTACTCTTGATTTTCATCATCAACTTTCCCACCACCAAACATTTACACAAAAAGCTGCAGCACAAAAAGGTGCCTGGATAGCATTTTTACTTCTCAAAAGACATATTCAGCAGTGACAATAACTACATTCTGCAGGTGAAAACAGAAGACCATCATTTTGTTCACACATGGAAAAAAATGTGAACACTCACAACAAACATAAAGATAAAAAATGATTAAACCAATTTCTGCCAAAATCATATTGTGGATCCTACATACACCTGAAGAGCATTCTATTCACTTTATGTAAGTTTCATTTCAAAAGCATTTATTTAAAATGGAACATTAAGGTCAGTTTCTGTGTTTATTGTAAATGTGGGAAAAGGTGTTGTTCCTAAAAGAAATTAAGACATGTTTTCCCTCTTTATTTTACAGGTGCATCATCCCATACTCCAACACACCACATGATACTTAAAATATTGGTCAATGTGTATAGGCTGCCAGGCCAACATAAATTCAGTTGAAAACACAAGGAAAGCAAGATCATAACTTTCATGGAATCCCAGAACTGTCCAGGTTGGAAAAGACCTTAAAGATCATCCAGTCCAACTATTAACCTAACACTGACTGTTCCCAACTACACCACATCCCTCAGCGCTATGTCAACCCGACTCTTAAAAACCTCCAGGAATGGGGACTCCACCACCTCCCTGGGCAGCCCATTCCAATGCCCAACAACCCCTTCCGGAAAGAAATGCTTTGTAATATCCAGTCTAAACCTTCCCTGCTGCAACTGGAGGCCATTACCTCTCATCCTGTCATTTGTTACTTGGTTAAAGAGACTCATCCCCAGCTCTCTGCAACCTCCTTTCAGGGAGCTGTAGAGGGCCATGAGGTCTCCCCTCAGCCTCCTCCAGACTAAAAACCCCCAGTTCCCTCAGCCACTCCCCATACGACCTGTGCTCCAGACCCTGCACCAGTTCTGTTGCCCTTCTCTGGACACGCTCTAGTCATTCAATGTCCTTTTTGTAGTGAGGGGCCCAACACTGAACACAGGAATCGAGGTGCAGCCTCACCACTGCCGAGTACAGGAGTAAGACCCCTTCCCTGTCCCTGCTGGCCACGCTATTGCTGACACAAGCCAGGATGCCATTGGCCTTCTTGGCCACCTGGGCACACTGCTGGCTTCTGTTCAGCTGGCTGTCAAATCAGCTCCCCCAGGTCCCTCTCTGACTGGCAGCTCTCCAGCCACTCCTCCCCAAGCCTGTAGCACTGCTGGGGGTTGTTGTGGCCCAAGGGCAGCCCCTGGCATTTGGCCTCATGGAAACTCCTCCAGTTGGCCTCAGCCCATGGCTCCAGCCTGTCCAGGTCTCTCTGCAGAGCCTCCCTACTCTCGAGCAGATCAATACTCCCACCTAACTTTAATTTCCCTACCATAGTTCTTTGAACAGTGGATTCCCTATAAAGTTCCTATTCCATATATTTGAAATAAGAGTTAAATATTCATACTTCTGAGGAAATCCAAAAATCCAGAAAGGATCATTTAAAATGAGCTTTAATCAAACTGAGATTTGACATGACACTACTTAATTAAATGGAACACTGAAATGAGTTCAAGTTATATTTTGAAATCTAAATAAAGTCTCTCCACATCATCTGGTCCTGTTCTGCACCCTTATCATGCTCTTTGTGCAGCCTCCCTCTTAATTCCTTTTAGCATCTTTATTATACTTCTTTCCATGCTACTGCCCACCAAACCCATTCTGTCCACATTATGAAAGATGACTGTTTTTAGTCAAACCCACATTCGTATCTTTGTTATATATTGTGAATGATGTAAAGAGCCTGCAGAAAGGAATAAAGGACCACAGTTAACAAATTTCCTTTGACAACTCCAATGATATCTGTTCAATGGCATATTTGTATGTAATAAGTATAAACTGAGAAGGGTCACAGACTCTGGATTGTTGGAGAAGCATTTTGGTAACTGGTGGATAACATTTGCAAGTCACTCCTGTATGGGATACTCACAAGACAAATCAAACTTGAGGCAAAATCCAAAGAAAACTTGCCCAGTTACAGGTTTCCCAAAGCACTGGCAATGGTTTACTTGCATAGTATTACGTTAGCAATTTCTGCTTCAGCCTTCTTCCAGTGTTATCAAAAGCAGATGGCTATGCTTCCCAAGCATCTGATAACAATTTCACTTAGTTCCAGGCACAGGCAGCAATAATTTTGAAAAAAATATATAAATAGAACAATGGATAATGTAAAAGTGACTTCTCCAGTTTCATAATTATATAAACCTCCCAGTAACAATCAAATTATTTCAGTCAACACATTCACCTGATACAAGTTCAGGATTAGTTCCAAAGTGAAAAGTGGAGAGTCATTTCAATAACAACATCCAACTTGCTCTCGTGTGACTTTTCATTCCACTGTGAAGTCCCTTTCAAAGAAACAAACCTAGTTCATCATTCAGATGCATTTCCATAAGTTCAGAACATGAGGGAAGCATTACTAAATACCTACAGCTGCTTACCTTACACTGAGGTATGAACTTGCTCAGAAACTCAAAGTCCCAAAGTGTGTTTCTAGACACTTCTCCTTTCAGCTTAATTTTTGCCAATTGTTTTTAGTGGCCTTTTCCAGAACCTGTTGTTGTTATGCCAGTTGGTTTTAGTGGCCTTTTCCAGAACCTAATGCCTCACCGTTTGCATTCATTTCTGAAAATAATCAAGCCCATATTTGAGCTTCAAGTTCCTATTTTAAAATTTAATTTACCTGAAGATACGTTTAACTGGGAAGATACCTTTGTATCCCAATAAATCAAAAGCCAAGTCCCCTGAAATGCTGTACCACCTCTTGATTTGAAAATGCATGTTTGTATGAGCAAACACTGAGGAATGAAACAAAACAAAAAAAAAAAAAGAAAGAAGTTACTGAGTTGCCTTCGTTCTGTTCTTTATTAACCGATATACTTAAAACACACTTGAAGACAAAGATATCTTTGTATACTGTTCTGGTTTGTTCTTAACATTGGAGTGGCTGAATCCCAGGAACTCCATGGCTTCTTCATGAAACAGCATATAAAGGTCATTCTACCTTCCCATCTGACTCTGATTCATCTCATACTTCATCTTCTTCATCATCATACTTCATCTTTTTGCATAAAAAATGAACATTGCACCAAAAAAAGAATGTATACATTATGCTTACAATGGCTGAATCTTTTCTTACCATGTCTCAGTCATCATATTCAAGGTATTAATAAGATGGTGCCCTATCTCTCTGCTGCAAATTACAATACAGTCTGCAGAAATTTCATAATTTCCCCTTTAGAATGAGTTGAAAATAGTAATAATTTTTAAAAAGCAGCAAAGCTTAGGGTATACCTTCAAGTATCTTTCACTTTAAACTGAAGCTCCAGTCATAGGCATTTCTCTTAGTTTTCAACTGAAATGTTATGATCCACCCGTTGTTACTAGCCAAGAATCTGGAAAGCTTGAACCTGCAGCAGCAAATGTTGCCTAATTAGCAGAGATGTCTAATTGGGTTATATTCTGGTGTTTCTTTCTCTCAGAAAACCTGT